GTATGAGTTGGAGCAGGCTGAATGGATCCAGGAAGAGTTGGAGCAGTCCGAGTCAAAATGCCAATACCTGCAGAAGAAAGGAAAGGATAAGTAGAGTTGTTAGAATCTATTATAAAGGACAACCACCTGACATTATTAGAATTACCGTACAACCATTGTAACTAAATAAGACCTGACTTGAGGCATTTTCTTCCTCATGCAATGAATGAATGACTATTTTCTTCTCTAAATTCTCTCATTCTCTTCTCGTATCTTTCTCTGTTTCTCTCATTTCATAACAAATTGGTATCAGGAGCCTTAATTCCTGGCAAATTGCAGACTGTATATGCAAAAGAAGAACCACACCATGGTAGAATCTACTGATCTCTCTGCCATCAAAAAGCATATTGAGGACTTAAAGAAAATAATGCAGCAAGCAAATGAGGAAACCAACCCTCCCAAGTGGTGGGAGGCACAAGATAAACGTATCAGTTTATTGGAGTCTGGGATGACAACGACTCAAAGCTACATGGAGCAGATATTGGGGATGTTGACAGGGAGAACGGAGGAGCAAGTCCAAAATAACCCTGGAATTGAGCAGAAGTTACATATGCAATAGAAGATACAAAGGATAGGTATCAAGTGTTCGATAAATTGCCAAAACCAAAGGTAGATGTACCAGTGCAGCAGAGCTACTTGTGGTACAGTTCAAGCAATGGTGATTCTGATTCCCAGGTCACCAGACTCTACAAAGACAAAGAGCAACCTGTAGGAAATTACTATCTAATTAACCTTGGAATTTATACGGTGGATAAGAAATTGAACTATCCATGTTGGTTGACCGGCCACAGGAGGATCAAGTATTAAAGATGGAGAAATAGAACTCATGCTTCACAGGCGAATGCTGATAATTCCAAAGGAGTAGGCGAAGTCCTTGACAAAGTGTCTTTGCGGGAACCACAAGCGAGGTACTTGATTTTCAATATGATGAAACAATGAGTGTAGGTTATTCAATGCCATTGAGACTATAAAGAACCATGTAGAAGATGATGACCCTTACAAGTTTAGATTGTTGCTAATGGGAATTAATGCGCTAGTAGAGGTCAAGAAGATAATTGGAAAGGGAAGTGGTTTTGTTGCTGTGGAGATTCCATTTACTTTTCTTGCCAAATGTATTTTAGAAATTTTGTGGGAAGAAGCCGCCAACTTGGCCATGACATATTAATCCTTGGGCATACTATGGTTATGAAACTTACAGGGTGAATGGGTCCCTGTTTTTTTGATGACTGGGTTCCATGAATCACCTGGCGAACCAGCATTTACGACCAGTAAGAAGGCTAATGAATTATGGGTTTCTATATTAGAGAAGGTATATGCAAAATTGCATGGTTCTTATGAGGCACTAGAAGGTGGGCTTGTTCAGGATGCACTTGTTGATCTTACTGGAAGTGTTGGTGAGGAGATCGACATGAGAAGTTCCCAGGCCCAGTTGGATCTTTCCAGTAGTAGATTATGGTCTCAGTTGTTGCGATTTAAACAAGAAGGATTTCTTTTTGGTGATGGAAGTCCATCAAGCTCTGATGTGAAGGTTTTTTCCAGTAGTATTGTACAAGGACATGGGTACTCGTTACTGTAGGTAAGAGAGGTGGATGGACACAAGCTTATTCAAATTCGAAACCCTTGGGCTAATGAAGTTGAATGGAATGGTCCCTAGTCTGATTCATCTTTGAAATGGACGGATAGGATGAGGTACAAGTTGAAGCATGTTCCTCAGTCAAAAGATGATATTATGGATGTCATGGCAAGACTCCAAATTCACTTCAAGTCAATATATGTATGTCGGGTCTATCCTCCTGAGATGCAATATTCTGTCCATGGACAATGGCGTGGTTACAGTGCCGATGACTGTCAAGATTATAATTCGTGGCACCAAAATTCCCAGTTCCGATTGAGGGAAACTGGTCCAGATGCTTCTTATTCGATTCATGCGTTCATCACCTTAACTCAGGGTGTTAGCATTCTGGAATTTTTGAATGAAAAGATAAGTAAGCTACTCTCTGGTGATGACACTAAGGCAGTCCAGAAAATTATTATCTCTATCGGAATATGTGTGTGAAAGAAACTTTCTTTAATATGAAAATTGCGCTTGATTTGATTTTAGCCTTTGTTGTTCAAAGTTGAGGATATTTTAAATTGCAGCTGGAGAAGCTCTATCATTTCTCTGGGGTGGTGTTCCTGTAACTTCTGATGTGATTCTCAAGACCAACTTTATTTCACTTTCCATGCCTTCAAATTTTCTTTTGGGTGACACATCAATGAAGAAAAAACTGGTTGATGCACTTGTTACGACTTTGACTGTTTTGGAAAGAGGGAAAGAGCGATCAAGTTGCTTGAATACTCGGAGGTATTTCAAGAGGTCACTATTGGTGAAAGCCTTAGTGGGAGGAAACTTAGCACTTACAAGGAGCTTTGTAATCTTGCAAATGAGATGGGACATCAAGATTTAATTTATAATTTTTGGATCTGGATAATTATCAAGCCTCAAATTCCAAGAGAGGTGCTGCTTTGGATTTTCTAAGATAGCCAAGCAAGCTGGTGATGCTCTTCAACCTTTTAAGAGTATGATTCCAAGGCTTCGGCGTTCTCGTGAGGAATTGTGCCTTGCCCTTGCAGATATTATCCAAGGTCAAAAATTTGATCAGGTTGGGAAGTATTTGAAGAAATAAGGGTGGTTGCTTTTCGTGCTATGGATGACATCAAAGAAACTGTGCGAAATGCTGGTGACAAACTATGTCGTGCTGTAGCCTCACTAACAATAAGGCTCTGTGATGTGTCCCTTACTGAAGCATCAGATGCAAGCCAATCGATGGATATTGTTCTTTCCATTTTGCTTGCAGTAGGCATATTGAGTAAATTTGACAGTATCATGAGCTTCAATTATAAGAAGGAAAACCATGGGCAGTCTATGGTTCACTTCATTCTCAAACCCAAGGAAAACATGAATCAAAGGTTAAAGGCATGGGGTGTGAAGGCACAAGGCAAAATGGAAATTTATAGAAATTTGAAGGTCGTGGGGCGAGTTTACTTGAAATTTCAGTCTTACCATCAAACCTCACTTGCTCTTCGAAAGGGATTAAAGCTGGCAGCAAGGTTTTATGGTTCTGTAAGGATCGACAAACGTAGGGAGCAAGAGCACAATCAGATACCGTGGATGAAATTAGAATTGGAAAACATTACGGTGGTAAATTATATTGTACTTCTAGCACAATTCTCAGATTTTGATCCTTGGGGACAAGGATCATCTCGTGGGGCGGGTATTGTTATGGTCGGAGAAGAATAAGAACGGCAAGGAGAGGAGGATTTGGGAATGGACGAGCGAGGGGAGAAATTGGGAATGGATGCGCAAGGGTTAGGGATTGAAAAATGTAAATTGGGAATTGAAGCACGTGAAGGGCATATGATTAACTTACCGGATGAGTTGGAGCAGGCTGAATGGATCCAGGAAGAGTTGGAGCAGTTCGAGTCAAAAGGCCAATACCTGCAGAAGAAAGGAAGGGATAAGTAGAGTTGTTCGAATCTATTAATAAGGACAACCACCTGGCATTATTAGAATTACCGTACAACCATTGTAACTAAATAAGACCTGACTTGAGGCATTTTCTTCCTCATGCAATGAATGAATGACTATTTTCTTCTCTAAATTCTCTCATTCTCTTCTCGTATCTTTCTCTGTTTCTCTCATTCCATAACACCTAAATCATAAGAAAATGGCAACAATCCAATTGTCAAACATACGAACATCAAAGATGGAAAACTCTACATTCATATAGACATGCTAAAGCTTTACCTGAGAAGACATAACATTTACTCCCAAAAGTTCACTTAACTCCTTCGTTCTCTTAGTTTCTGGGGACATCTCCTCCTATTCAAATCAAATATCCATCTAAGTTCACCAACGACATAGTATAACACTCGTACAACAAAATTGTTGTGTAGATTTTGGCTTCTGCAATTGGATCCAAACAATGCCAACTAAGTTCATAGTCTTAAACAACAAATACACCAAACCATAATTATATGTAACTTAAACATAATATCTTCAAATAAAAGCTAAACAAATACCGTCTTCAATATAAATCGTTGGGTTTCTATCAATAGTGATAAAAGTAGGCTCACTTCAGAGTGACTCACCATTAGTCAAGAGCAAGTATGGAGCACTCAATTCACCTGTAGAAGTAATAAAAAATAAAACTGATTAACAACATTTATTTTCATTATATTCTTTGCATTTCAATGCAACCACACAAAGTTCATGATATTGAAAAGGTATAAGTAGAAAACACTTAATAGTACCGGAATCTCCGTACAATTTTCTCCAAGCTTGTGGAGAACCTCCAATGGGAACACGGCCATGAAGAATAATTCCGTCGATATCAAATGCTATTCCAAAATTACACCTGAGAAAATCAGCTCAATGTCCATACACTTCCCAGGGAACCACATGAGAATTTGGGAAAAAATCGTTTTTTTTTAATATATTGTTTCTTAAAAATGGACATTTTTATGCTTTGATCGAGGAGTAGAAAAGACTTGAAACGAAATCGGAACTTTGTTTTTGAAACGAGAAACCGTATAAATGGTTGATGCGTGAAATCTCCTCTAGTTTCCGATTTCTCCTTCATGTCATAGGGATTTTTTCTTCACCCACATTATGAGCGGCGAACGTCGTCGTTTTAAGTACTCAGTAGATAAGTTTAAAATGACAAAAAATTACTTTTTTTAATATTTTTTTTTGCAGTATAGGAAAAATTGAAGAATATATGAAAAATGTCAAAAATTGTTAGATTTGATGATAAGTTTTGAGAAATCGATAATCAAATATTTAAAAAGATTTATTATATTTAACTGTTAGTTTCGATATTAAATAGGTAATTAAAGCTAAATAATTTTAATAATTCGGTAAATATTTAAAATGTTTCTTTAATTAGAATACAGATGTTGTAAACACGAACTTCCTTCAACGAAAAAAAAAACCCTCAAATCTTCTTTTGTTTTTCGTATCCATCATTTCTTCTCCATCGTCGGATCTCTCTTTGATTCATCCAATAAAAACAAATACTTCTAACCAATCGCATCCTCTCGCGCCAAATACAAAAAGGAAGAAAAAATATCCATTTTTGTGCTCTTCTATATTTAGTATTTGCTTTCCCTTCAGGTTCTTTCTCTTTCTACTCTTGCATGAAAACTTGTATGTATTTAGGTATGTGTTTGTTCATAGGGATCTGTATGTAATCATGTACTTAGGCATCTGGTTTTTGTTGAATTTTAGATTTTCTGTGTATGGCAGTATTCGTATTTGTAGATGTATGGATGAATTTATGCTTTTGGGGATGTTTACTGAAGCATGTATGTATCTGGTTATCTCTTTTTTTTTTAATGATTTAAGTTTTGGTTTCGTTTGAATTTGAGGATTTTGTATGCGGCTTGTTTGTATTTGTATGTAATTATGGGTTGAATATATGCATTTGGGATGTTTATGTAAGCATATATGCATCTGGGTATTTAAAAGTACTGGTTCTTGTTTTTCCATGTTCTGTTTTAGTTGTGATCTAGGTTTTCTGGGCACATGGCGGATGGTATGGCAGGGGGGCCTGCGAGCCCACCAGGAAGGAGCCATGAGAGTGGAGGAGAGCAAAGCAGTCCTCAGTCAAATGTGAGGGAACAAGACCGTTTCCTCCCAATTGCTAATATAAGTAGAATCATGAAGAAGGCATTGCCTTCTAATGGGAAAATTGCCAAGGATGCTAAAGATACTGTTCAAGAATGTGTTTCTGAGTTTATCAGCTTCATCACTAGCGAGTATGTTCAGTTATTGAATATTTTGGGAACTTTTTTGTATTTCTTTAATATTTGTTAACTTTGAATTTGATGGTTTTGAAATTGTGAGGATGTCACTTTGAGAATAGAGAGTTTTGTTTCAAATGTGGTGTTTAGAATCTATGTTACTCAGGCTTGGTGGAGTGTCGAACACTAATATGTGTATGACTGTATGTTCAGTTAAAACAATATGTGTATGACTTTGGTGGAGTGTCTTTGGTGGTGTCGAACACTAATATGTGTATGACTGTATGTTCATGTATTTGGAGGGTCTTTGGAAGATCGTAGTTGCATGCCCATGTTAAAATATCATACTTCGGACATGGTACTTATATAAAAATGAAGTCAGAATAACATAGTTTAGTGTGTATGAGAAAGTAGACTATGTGTTTTATGTTGCAACATTTGGTGCTTTTTTAGGAAAATGCTTAAGCTGGGAATTAGTTGATTGGAGTTAGTAGGGTCATAGGATTTTGGATTATAACATTATAGTATGTTTGGAAACATGAATTTGAAAATTGGATTTAAATCTTAAAAATGAAGTCAGAATAACATAGTTTAGTGTGTATGAGAAAGTAGACTATGTGTTTTATGTTGCAACATTTGGTGCTTTTTTAGGAAAATGCTTAAGCTGGGAATTAGTTGATTGGAGTTAGTAGGGTCATAGGATTTTGGATTATAACATTATAGTATGTTTGGAAACATGAATTTGAAAATTTTGGATTTAAATCTCGTTTTTGATATAAATTGTGAGAATGTAATACATACCTCATAAATTTATGATCACTAAGCTTGTGTATATTTGAAAGGTGTAATACAAAACAGGAATTTCAAATTCATAAAGATCTATATGCATTTCAAATTCACCACTAAATAGATATCCAACAAACCAATGAATTTGAGAAATAATCATGAATGTAAAATTTGAAATCTAACTTCTCACTGACAACCTTATGATGTATCATGAGCCTTTTCTGTATGTGGGCTAGAGATTCTTTGTTAAACGGTGTTTTATGTTGGTGTTTGTTTCTTTACTTCTTAATAATATTGAGAAACATAATTATGTTTTATATGAATTGTAAATTGTGAATTGTGATTCATTACATTGGAGATGTTGGCTTCTGTATCTGATATGTTGATTTCATGGTTTCTGGTAAATGGATGTTTGTTTCCCTTTCTTACTTTTGGATTGTAAAAAGTTTGTTTTCAAGGGATTTTGTTTTAGTTTATATAAGAAAGAAGGGTCCTTGTGTTTTTAATTCCGACTTTTGATGTTTTTTGGTCCAGTTAAGTTTTTAGTTTTGATGGATGTGAACAAGCATTTTTCCCATTTTTGTTGTGAACTATAAATTTTTTGATTGGTGTGAAATATATCATTGATTTCTTGTTGATATTTTTCGCATCAATTTTATTTTGTTCAGATTTTGAATTGATGCTTGTGGAAATTTAGGCTTTTGTGTATTAATCATATGATTGATTGGTTAGAATTTGTATCAATTGTTTGGGCTGTTTGTTTTATAGGGCTAGCGATAAATGTCAGAAAGAGAAGAGGAAAACAATTAATGGAGATGATCTGTGTTCGGCAATGGCGACATTAGGATTCGAAGACTATATCGATCCACTTAAAATATACCTTGCCAGATACAGGGAGGTATGCAGGGCTTTAAGTTTTGACCTATTTGTTTATTTACTTCACTTACTGCTTCATCCAACTTTTCGATTCATTTAGGCCCAGTTTTGAACTTTTGACCTATTTGCTTGCCTGTTTCACTTTGGCTACATCTAGTTTGTCAATTTATCATAGTATGGAACCTGTTAGGCTGTTAGAAGATTGAATGGAGTTCAAACCCTTTTTGTTTGTTGTCACTGTCTTGCATATCATACAAGTAAATCTATATTAGGGTCAATTTACCTTAAAAGCTGCATTTCACTGCAACTGCAATGCTGAATGGGAAAAAATTGACTTTTGTGGTTAAAAAATAGTTTTGACAAACCAAATAGAAAAGCTAAGGAATTGGAGCTTGTGATTAGGAAGATGGCTTTGGACCTTCTGATCCTCACTTTTCTAAATTATTATTATTTCAAACATGCTTTTTCTTGAAATTTTGATTTCTCACAACACTATTTCACGGCATTGTAAAACCCTTCAATGAAAACTTTTAAACCACATTTTTCAACCCATTTTTTTAAATCAAGCTTCTTGTAAAAGAAAATGTTAAACTAGGCCTAGGTTTCAATTGTTTGAAGTCCAAAATTTGTTGTTCGATTCCCTGACATTTTCATCTTTATTATTTGATCTGACTAGTTCTTTCTTTTTTTCCTTTTTCTCGGAACTGGTATATCGATGATGAATATGATGCACAGTTGGAGGTAGTTATGCTCTCTCGTTCACCATTAATATATTTTCTTGTAGCTTGCCCGGATAGTGTCTCTGATGCCAGTGGCAACATTAATGCAAACTTTCTAACTAACAGGGTGACACCAAGGGATCCGCCCTCGGTGGTGACGGATCTTTTAAAAGAGATGCAGGGGGAGTTCTGGCTGCCCAAAATCCACAGGTGAAACCATGTTATTGGTTTATGTTCCTGCTTAAGTTACTTTGACTTGAGTATGAGTGATACAAGTATGGTCCAACAAAGTAACATTTTTTTTCCAAGTTGTTCCATGCATATGGTGGACCCTTGGATAGTCCTACCCTAATACAAATTTCCAGATATATGACAATACATATGTTGTACATCAGTATTTTAAGAAAAGAGAGGAGTCGGAATTATATAGATTCTTATTTCTGTGCTAAAAAATTATATATCTGGCAATTTTTTCCCATAATCTCTGCAACTGATTACTATATTCTTTTTCCTGGTTGGCATATAAATCCTGCAGTTTTCAATCCAGGGAACATTGAACTATACTGATTCCCAAGTAATTCTCTCTCTCTCTCTCTCTCTCTCTCTCTCTCTCTCTCTCTCTCTCTGTGTGTGTGTATGTGTGTGTCTCTCTCTCTCTCATTTGGGTTTTTTTCATGCATAGGTTTTCATTTGCTGGATATATATATATATATATTCCCTTATGAATACGTTGTTGATTAATGTTTTCCTGTCCGTTAACTTCATGTTGAACGTTTCCACGTATTAGGCTTGATTAGCATTAGATTGTACTAGTAGAGTTTATTTTTGTAGTCCTGTGCTTCCAGTACTTAATTTCATTTTGGTTACCTTAGTGCCATGCAATTGCTTTTTCTAACAATTTCACTAGTTTGAGGAATAAAAATATCATGGGGGGTCTAGGTTATCTCTTGCTTTAACCGATTATTTTGAGCAAAGTAACTACGGAATCAAACTTTTCTTTTGTGAGTTCTCTCCTAGTCCCCTGGTTTCCTATTCTACAAAGTGTAAAAATGATTCAATTTCAACAACTGCACCAAGTTCTGTTTTTACCGAAAGCTTTGCCATTTCAGGTTTTTTGACAAAATTCATCAATCCTACACCTACATTAATCTTTTGATAAATAGGGGATTGAATTAGGTAAAAGCATTCCACATAAGCATCATGCTTACGGTAGGAAACTTTTTTTCTCTGTTGAAGATAGAATTCTTGAATATGAAATGATTAACTGATGAATGATAGGATTACGATATTTATATTTTGTATTAAAATTGAATGATTGGATAACTATTTACATGCATGATTTTGCGCCTACGATTATTTCAATTTTCCTGTCATTTAATCATGCATTGTAGATTGCATGTTATATGAATGCTCAATTTTCTGACCCTTTGATTCCAGGGAGTTCCATCTGGAATCACTTTTTTCATGTTTATTATGTATTGCTGTCCAAAGCATATCCAAATATACAGAAAAACTTGGGGGGGGGGGGGGAAACCAAAATTACATATGGCAACACACACACCCGAATCTGAAAATTAGATTTGTCGGACTAGGAAGCCTTTTGCAAAGCTATCAATCTTCTCCGCCCTTGCCCTTCACTTTTTCTGCTTCTCGATTGTGATTTGGGAAAACAAAATATCATCTAGCAGCTTCAACTCTGTTTACCCGCTTTGGAGAGTAGGTCAGGCTATTGCTTCCCCCTGCTCTATTTGGCATTGTAGTACCCTGTCTAGCCGCATTGTAATGGCAATGAAGTTGTTGTAGACCAAAGCGTTATATATACACACTGGGTGAAAAATTGGGATCTTTTAGTAAAAACTATTGGAAATTGTAGCTGTAAAAGAAGGGTTGTTTTTCCTTCCCTCTCAAAACCAATCTGGCCTATTTTTAGTAGTATGTACCTAAAAAAACTCTTGTTTGTAATTTTGTTTTCGGTAATGGGTTATCTGCTGCAGTGTAAATTAACAATCCCATTTCAGTGATTTGGTTTAATCTTGCAGGCACCAGGACAACATATGATCATTCCTTCCATGCAAGGCAACGAGTAAGTGCCCCCGATCCAAGCTTCCGCTATCGGATTTATGAGAATTAGAAGTAGTTAAATTTAGTTAAACACCTATAGGAACTTTAATGTGGGATTCATCTTTTTAGTGATCTTGTTGTAAGGTGATTTGGGAGTTGTAAAAATGCTTTCTTAAGTGCTGTTTCATCATACAGTGCTGCGGGGCCATGGTTCCCGAGCAGGCATTATATGACATAATTGACTTATTTGCGCATCTAAGCACTTCGTTTTGATATTAATGAGCTAGTTCGGTTTTAACATTATTCGAACCGGTCCAATATGATCTTCGAGTCGGTTTCATTTAAACCGAATGTTCTCTCCCTTGTATAGCATCGAGGGGGCCATTGATTATTATTTTTTGTATTCTAAATCTAATTCTAATTTTACCTAGTGGGGATGAGAAGGAAGTAAAGTGCTCCTAGTGGGTTTAGAATTCATGACTTAAGAAAATAGGGAATAGAGATGAGCAGCTTGACCACCTAGTCAAATACCCTTGCTCTAATTAATGATATTTGATGTATCGATAATATATAAATTGATATATTGTAAGTATATTAAAAATATAATCTTTTATATTTATTTTTAACTAGTTTTTCAGCACGTGTGCTGTGTGCTTTCTTGTTTTTTAATGAAATATTTTATTTTACTAAAAAATAATTTAAAATATTATTTTATATTGAAAATCATATATTTACTATATTTAAAAAATATTTTTAGAATATATTTTCAAAGGTATCATATGTGATGATTTAATAATATTATATTATCTTATCGTTGTTTTAATATGTTTTCATATATATGAACAATGGACAAGCGTTGGTGATCATAGATAGGTAAAAAGAGGGTGTTGGTGATTATATATGAAATGGATGGGATAAACCGTCATTGACGACAATTGGTTTATATATGTATAGTTGAATCATTACATCATGAACTCGAATGATTTTGATTACAGCTAATACTTAAACACAAGATCAAGTTAATCAGATATAAAAACCAAAATTAAAATTTTAAAATAGTATCTAAGTTTAATTGGTTAAATTTAAGTAATTGAATATTTATCTCAAATTGATCTTAGATCTTAAAATTAAATATTGGATTAAACATCGAGTATGAAGTTGGGTTTAGAGCTTATATTAGGACATGCGTGATTTGCTTCTTGCATTACAACTGCAATTTCAGAACTTTTGACAGCTACGATATAATTTCGTTAGGAATTTTGCCATATTTGAAAGGCGTGGGTCCCCACGTGAATCTCTTCACTGATGTCGTTCATGGCTCTTCTTTTATTTTTATTTTTTTAATACTTATTTTCTAATATATTATGTGTATGATTTATGAGTAAATCTCACATATATAAATGATTATAAAAATAAAAAAAAGTTTCTACTAACGCTCGTTTAGGATACAGAGAGATCCCTAAATCATAAAATAAGAAATATAATATTTGTTATCATTACTTTAATCTAAAAATATTTTAAAATAAATAAAATAGAAATAATAAAAAGTCAAGTGTGGATATAGTAAATAAAGAAATTAGAGCGACGTTGATAATGTAGCAAGACAGACCAAAGTCTATCTGTTTCTCGCTTCTGCTTCACTGTAAAATTTTGGGTAAAGTATAGTAATGGTAACTAAACTTTTCTAAAGCTTTCATTTAGGTTCTCCAATTTTTAAAACTTGCAATACAGTCCCCTAATATTTAGTTCATTTGCAATACAGTCCCCAAACATTTAGTCCATTTGTAATATGGTCCCCGACATAACCGGCCGTTTGACGCCGTTACATTGTCGTTAGTACATTTGCAATATGGTCACTGAACTTTTCACGCGCTTGCATTTAGATTCCCCAACTTTTAAAACTTGCAACGCAATCCTCAATTTCATTCTAAACCCCAAATTTCTTTTCGATCTCGAATTTCCTTTTTCGCTTCTCTTTTGTCATTTCTAACGTAACTTTTCAGTCGGGGATGCATGGGAAATTCTAATCTAACTTCGAATTATGTGGAGGTGTTGACTTGAATAAGGGTCTATTGAGAGAATACCAGACCAAGAGACTATCGGGACCATTTACGATTCAAGGTGTAATGTTAGGTACAGGTCATCTCAGGTGAAGCATAGATGTTCGATGAAATACTTGTGAGAAAAAATGGGGTTAGAAATGATGAGTTAACAAATACTACTAAGATGAACTAAGTATCATTGTTGAAAGTCACCAACAAAGCTGGAATTATTTTGTATAAATGGCATATAATAATTTATTTGTTTAATCCTTATGGTTAAAGATTTTCCAACAGATGATCAAATATAATGAAATCTCAAACAGCGCATTCACCTCTCAGTCTCTTTCGCTCACATGCACTCTTGTTTGGTTTTGTTCTTCAATTTTCTATCATGTAAAATTGTAAACCCAAGCAGTGCTTTGTCTTTCAGCTTTTTATTTACAAAGAAAAAATGGAGGAAGAATTGATGGAACGCAACACCGATTGCGTTTATTTCTTAGCCTCCCCTCACTTGCAAGAAGGTATTTATTTTAGAGAAAATAACCTCAGTGACCGAAAATGCCTTATAATATACGATTTTAACAAACTTTTTTTGGATTTGCAAAAATGACCAACAAATCGGCAACGCGAGCTCCAATTTTGAAAATCGAAACAAAGAAGTCAAATTCGCAATGCGTTTGCCAAATTCGCAACACTGAATTTCAAATTCACAACTGAATTTCAAATTTGCAACTGAATTTCAAATTCGCAACTCGATTTTTGAATTCGCAACACGAATTTAATTTCGCAACAGGTTTTAGTTTCACAACACAAATCTTTTGGGTATATAACTACGCAGCAGTAGTAACTCATAACCTAAATCCCTAAATCGTAACTCATTCTATCTACATCTATCACTCTCTCCATCTATCACTCTCTCCGGCGACATATGTTCCTATATCCAACGACATCCTTCCCCATCTCTAATTGTTTTTACATAATTTTATTTTTATATAATTTTTCAATGATTTCTCTCCCAAATTATCAACTATCAACTTAATAAAGGTATGTTTTTCTCTAAGTTAGTGATGATATCTAGTTTATAGCTCGTTTGTTTAGTAAATTAATTTACAATTTGTACAATGAAATCATCTAATATTGATCATGTTTGGATAGATTTGTGTTTTGGAGGGTCATGGGAGAATGTTCATGGTGTTTTACAATATGTGCCTTTACCCATGAGTCTTCAACTAAAATTGACATTAAAAAAGTTAACTTATGAAACTCTAATGTTACGTGTTGCAAAGAAATTGAATTTAGAGCCTCTAAGTGGATTTAGGCTATCTTATCAGAGAAAAGGTAAAGTTTATTTGTTAACCGACAATGAAGATGTTGAACGATTCATTTCTTACATTAGTGTTTCGCAAGAAGATGATGTTACATTGTATGTTGTTGAACCTAGAAGTAGTGAAGTTGGGTCAGTAGCGGGTAGTAATCAACTAAGTTCTTCAACCCCAGTTTATGGTGCTCACAATGTACAACGTTGTTATCAACCTCAAAATTTAATGGTTCCACCACAATTTCATCACCAAGAAAATTTTGTTTCACCACATTTCTAATACCAAACACAATATCAAACACAATCTCAAAACCCACAACCTTTCCCTAACCCAAATCCCAATCAACTTTCAGCACCAAATTCCGGTTTTCGTATTGACCAGTTAGACGATTATGAGCCAACAGAAAAAATTGTGAGTACTAGTCAGTATTCAAAATTTGATCTTGGTCAATACCCGGACTTTGATCTTGGTCAATACTCGGATTTTGATTATGTTTCAGAAGAAGAAACAGACCCTGCGTGTAATGATTTTGATATTGGTCAATACACGAGGTGGTAGATTTTCCATTTATGACCGTGAATGGTTGTGAGGGTTGCTATGAGAGATGGTGATAGACGGATTTTGTTAGAGATGGGGACGGATTACGTCGAAGATGGGGACGGATGTCGCCATAGAGAGTGAGAGATTGAGATGTGATTGAGTTATGATTTAGGGTTTTAGGTTATGATTTGCGATAATATTGTTTACATGTGTGTTACGAAATTAATATTGCGAAAATAAACGCGCTTTGACTTCTGTGTTGCGAATTTGACTTATGTGTTGCGAATTTGACTTATATGTTGCGATTTACAAATTCGCGTTGCGATTTTGAAAAATCGCAATGCGATATATTCACGTTGCGAATTTGGAAACTGGGTTGCGAAATTGGAGTTTGCGTTGCGAATTTGAGATCGCATTGCGAATTTGTTGGTCATTTTTGTAAATCCAAAAAAGTTGGTTAAAATCGTATATTATAAGGCATTTTCGGTCACTGAGGTTATTTTCTCTTTATTTTATCTTTTGGACTATCCGGAAGTAAGCTTTTCCTCTTTCGCACTTTCCCATTTTCAACTCGCATTGTGTGTTTTTTGTTGAAATTTTTGTTTTTGGAACTGCATATCAATGATCTAGATATTCAGTGTTAGTTTTGAACCAAAATCATCTAATTTTCTTTCTTTTTCTTAATCGTACTCCTTATGAAAGATATTCAGTCTGTTATAATAGAAGTGAAATAGGGTCATAGGCTATTTTTTTTATATTCTTGTTTGGTTTTTCTTTAAATTAGGGAATTGGTTGTGAGTATCGACATAGTCAAATTGCCAGGGTCAATCAAAGAGACTATTGGTACTAGTTTACTGGAATTGTATTGATCTGACATGAGCTCGGATTCTTTTTAATAAGTTCATGTTGATTACATGACTGATATATTGTGAACGAATTGGATTTTTTACATGTTTTGGAAAATTTACAGTTGAATTGTATTGAATTATAGCTTTAGAAGATAATTTTGCATGCACGCAATTCGAAAGACATCATGATAGGGTAGTATATTTGGAGCAGCTACTTGACCATATCATGATGCCTTTCGAGTTACGAAAGAGATTTAGAGGTGAATGTGTTGTTTGAGATTTCATTATATTTGATCATCTGTTAAAAAATCTTTAACCACAAGGATTAAATGAAGAAATTATTATATGTCATTTATACAAAATAATTTCATCTTTGTTGGTAAATTTCAACAATGATACTTAGTTCATCTTAGTAGTATTTGTCAACTCTGTATTTCTAACCCCATTTTTTTCTCACAAGCATTTCATCGAACATCTATTCTTCACCTGAGATGACA